GTCTATAAAATTATACCGTAACGAGAAAAAAAATTAAAAAAAAAAAATTTGATTTTTGACGATTTTTGAAATTTTGAAAAATTTGGAGTGACCTCTTAAAAATTTTTTTTTGAGCTATCCTTTGGTGAGGGCTTTTAAAACATCAAAAACTAACATTTTTTCACTCGAGACTTAAAAAAAAAAAATAGTCGGTTTTTTTGCGCCACCCTAGTGTATACAATACACTTTTATAAGCGCAGAAAAAAATCCCGGTCGACCTCCGCACTCTGAAACCTCGACAATCCACTCTCGCATGTCAATAAAAAAATTAAAGAATTAAAAAAAATTACTTGTACGCTTTTGTTTACTCTGAAATAATTCTGGTACAAATAAATTCTAGAATATCTACTACACTTATATAGTCTTAAAAAAAAATCACGCTCAATCTCCGTACTCCGGAACCTATTTATTCCACCCTAGCATGTCACTAGTGAAATGAAAAATTAAGAAAAAGAATTATTTGTACCAGAATTATTTCGGAGTAAACAAAAACGTACAAGTAATTTTTTTTTAATTCTTTAATTTTTTTATTAACATGCGAGGGTGAGATTGTCAAAGTTCCGGACTGCGAAGGTCGACCGGAATTTTTTTCTACGCTTGTAAAAGTGTACTATATACGACCGAATTTTTATTAGATCTAAACGTTTTAAGGTCTTTAGAAGCTATTTTGATTATTTATTCATACATGCTTTTTTGGCTTTAAACCTTTTTTTTTTTTTTTAAGCCAAAAAGGCGCAAGTCAAAAAAATTTTTTTTGCGTTTTCTACCCAAATTGATACTTTTATTAATTACCAAATTAATTGAAAAAAAAAAAATTTTTTACACGCCCTTTGGGCATTAGTAACGCTACGTATATAATGAACTAATAAATAAATTTAAAATATTTGAAATAGTAAAACTTTTAAATCTGAACTAGGTTATTAAGCGAGCAGAAGTCTTGGATTTATCAGAACAAGAACGAGTTGGCAAACTAGTTGAACGTCTTGATAATATGAAGCGCAATGTTACAGTTGTTAATACAAGATCAAGTGATAAGAGTTGCGGAAATAGATGCATACGTAGTAAGAGATGTGTTTGTTCTTGTGCTCTATGTGGCGAAAAATTTACTGTCCTTGGAGGTGGATCCATTTTATGCAAAGATTGTTGCAAATATGTTTGCAAAAAATGTGGAGTTGAGACGACAATATCAACAGTAGTAATTAACAATAAATCACGGATAAAAAACAAGCAATTTTTTACCGCTTCTTCAATATCTGATATTTCAATGATTGAAACAGAAAATGATGAGCCAATTAAAGTATCTACTAAAATTTTTTTATGTCGTATTTGTACAGAAACACGAGAAATGTGGAAAAAAAGTGGTGCTTGGTTCTTCAAAAGCTTGCCCAAATATATTTTACCAGAAAAAAAGGTTAGTGTTATATTTTTATAAACTCTAATAAACGCCATTTGGTAGATTTTTTGTTTGAATATTGAGAAAAAAAAACGTTATTAAAAAGCAATAATGTCCTAAAATTTATTTTTCATTATATTTTTGCCAATAACAATATGAGACTGACTACAACAAATAGATATTCAAAGACATCTACCTAAAAAATAGGATTTGTAACAGATGAAAGTCATTTGATGATAAAAGCTAAAAATTCATTTATTTTTGATTTTTTTTCATTTTCCCAAATACGAAATAAATTGAAAAAAGTATCTAAAAGTCGACGAATAATAGCTTAAATTAAAGGTAATCATATCTTATTCATTAATATGTTCATTATAATAAGTTCATTAATATGAACTTTAAAATAAATTTAATAAATTAAAAGGCGCGCAGTAGCCTATCGGATCCGGCCCTTGCTTACCAAAGCATTGGACCGGGTTCGAGTCCGGCGTACACCAATTAATATTTTCAATATTTAAGTGTATTATTCTGCTCAGCCCAATAAATAAAATGAGTTCGAATCTCAAAAGTTTACCCCCTACCGTAGTCGCTCATGACCTTAGTAGTTTATGCGACTTTAAACAAATTAAGAAAAAAAAAATAATAAATTAAAGCTAACTTTTACGGCTTAAAAATTATTGAAAAATTTTTTCAAATTTTCAAAATCATGGAATTAATTATAAAAATCATCAAAGTAGACAAATAATAGCTTCAATTGAAGGTAATTAAATGAAGTTTGAAATAAATTTAATAGATTTCATCTATCTTTTACATCTGAAAAATTATTTCCTTAAAATATACGAAATTCAAAATTTTTTAAAAATAAAAAAAATTTTCAATCACTCACAACTCGTAAACTAACCGGCCGATTTTGCCCATCTTCAAACTTGATCTTAGTATTGATCTACAGAATGAGCGCACAAAATTTCATAAAGATCGGTTGAGAACTGTGGGCGCAATCCTGCTTACATGGCGCGTTATATCACATAAATACATGAATAGACTTTTGAGCGAATGATATTTTTTGACTTTACTTGATGAAATGAAACATATGACAAAATTTTCTTAAAATTACATAATACCAGCTACAATAGATAGATTTCTGAAGATATCTACCTAAAAATAAAATAAATTTTTTATATTATCAATAATTATATTTGCGACCGAATTGTATATATAAATTAAAGTTTTTTGCGCTTAGCGGTCAAGTGACTAGTAAATCTAATTCAAGCCAACGGATGGTCATTCCGTTGGCTTGAATTAGATTTACTAGTCGCTTGACCGCTAGGCGCAAAAAACTTTAATTTAATTTTTTATATTTTTCAGAAAACTCAGAGTGAGATTAAAAGCACGTGTAAAATTTTAAGTAACTCTACTGAACTGATCGAACAAGATTCATCCTCAGACGAGGATTCTACTCAACCAAATTTATTCCTTTCACATAGTTTGTCTTCAAATCTTCCCGATTTATCTCGAAGCCAAAATTTTGATACCAAAATAGATATTGAGATTCAGCGCAAAAGTGCCACAGCTCTTACTGAGATTGATAGAATGAAGAGTAGTAGTCCACATAAATTACAATTTCATTTGTCGCCTCATAACCAATTGAATGAACCGTCTATTTCTTCATCTTCAACTTTACTTTCATCTCCTGTATCATCAGCATCTCTTTTATCACTGACAAAATCAACAAATCGTTTGTCAAAACAAAAAGAAAAATCCCTTTCAAGTAGCAAAAATTCCATTTTTTATACAAATCTTTCGTCTAATAGCAGTGAATCAATTGACAGTGAATCATTATACAAGAATGATATCTCTTCCAAGTCACCTGTAAATAGTAAAAAATCAAAAAAAAAATCTAATCGCAGAAAATTTTTTAATGACAAAAAAGACTTAAGCGATTAGTCTGTTAATGATTTTTTCAGTTAATTTTTTAGATAGGAATAAAATGAATCTCCAAGGCAGAGGTATGTAATTACCCTTTTATGTATCTTACGTCGGGCAAAGGCTCCAAATATTGACCAGTTTAGATAAAATGAACATAAATACATTATTTGTAAATTTATTGGAAAAGTTTATGAGCTGAAACGAGTATTATGCTCTTTTTATAGCTTTAACTTACAACCTATAATACTTTTGTATTTAAAAAACATAATAATAAAAATTTTATTATAATAATTAACGTTATAAATAATTTTTATTCTTAATCTATAATCTTTCAACATTAGGTAATCTATTCACTGACAAGTTAATTATTTCAGTATTGTTATTAGTTGTTCTATAGTCTGATAGAATATTATTTTCAGTACTCTTATTGAATTAATGCCGAAGCCTAATATAATATTAAGTACATTGGATAATTTAAAACATCAATTGTTGACAAGAGTATTATTTCAATAATTAAGGTAGTTGTCGTGGTTAAGGCATAGCATCAGAAAATTATAAATTTTCGTATACTTATTAAGGACATGATGATACAATTATCCTAAAAATTTGAAATCGATTGACCACCTATTATAACTCGAGATGAATTTGATTGAAAATTGAATATTTAACATTGATTGCATACGCTCTCTGCAGTTCTGTACCAGTTTCTTAGTTATAAAAAAAAACTGTCAGAAACTTTCAAAAAATTGACAGTCTTTTAATGTATTTGTTGTGAGTTTAAAAAAAAAATAAAAAAAAATTTTTGACCGTCTAATTATTTATAAATAACGGATTAAAGTTTAACAATTTATGAAAATAAGGTAAAAGACCCAGTTATTGACACTTGCAATTTTATTCTAATTAAAAAAATAAAATGTTCTCAAAAAATTAATTATCTAAAAATTTATAATTCAAAAATTATATTTATTAATTTATTAGAGTCGATTTGTTTTATTTAATTAAAATAAAATTGCAAGTGTCAATAACTGGGTCTTTTACCTTATCTACGGAGTCGGACAGAAACAATTGTATGGGTTGCGTCTCCACGGGTACAGTTTTGCGTAAAAATTATGGATTACTTAATTTCAAGCTCATATACTTTTGCGGCGTGTATAATTTTTAATTTTTTGACAATATTGTATCATGACAACTACCTTAAATTAAGGTAGTTCTTTCGCAACCTAAAGTTTATCAATGATTTCTCATAAACTATGAGGTAGGGAATTCCAGAATTTTTTAAAGTAATTATATACATGTATTAATCTAAGTAATATTAGTTTATCGTGAAATTCTTAAAATTTCTTCAATACAAAAATAATAAAACTTCACGGTTTTCTTTCTTTTTTCCCATACCACCTGTGTAAAAATGTCATTTTCAATTGCATTTATCTTTAAAAGTGATAAATCGTCTCCAAATTTTAACAGCATGTGCATTATGCATTTAATTACTTATATTATAAATTTGGAAGGTTTCTTGAAATTTTGCTCGCATGACCCAACTACCTTATCGTGATTTTTCTAACAAAAATTATTGATAATTAATTTTTGATATTGAATTGTTTTGACAAATGCTGATTTATTGATTATCAAGTATTTAATTTTATGTAAATTGATCATATATTAATCAAACACGGTAAGGTCAAGTTCTAATGATTAATTTTCACAACTTTCTGACATTTGTACATAAACTTATTTTTTTTTTTTTTTTTATAATAACAACTGCATATATTTATGTGCATGCGCACATTTTTATCTCAAGTATGATTAAAAACTGATAATTACGTACTGAATATAAAATTAAATTACTAGATTTTTGATGGTGCAAAAACTAAGGTGTTCAAAATAAATCAAGGGGTATGAGACAGGGATGTGCACTAAGCGCAGTACTCTTTAATATATTTATAGATGACATGGAGGACGAGATGGTGAGAAAAAACATAGGTGTAATGGGTAAAACAAAGATATATGGAGAAATGGCACTAGGAGTAGCGAGAAACATGCCGAGCTATATAGTGTACAAAAAGACAAGAAGTGAAATGATAGAAGTGCTAATAAAAGACAGACTACGGAGGTACATAATAAATATTGTAAGAATGGGAGAAGACAGGTGGCCAAAAATCTGCCTAAGAGAAGAAATGAGAGGTATATTGAACAGGCAGCCATCAAAGTGGGGAGAAAAAATAAAAATGTTAGTGAAAGAGATGGAATGTGAAAGAGTTATAGAACTGATATATAATAATGCGGAGATAGAAGTGATAGAAGAAGAAATAAAAAATGGCTTGGAGGTGTATAAAAAAATGATGGAGAAAAAAGTAGAAGAAAAAATAAATAATTCCACGTACAGTAATCTATACAAAAAACTAGTGCTGACAAACGAAACAGAAAACTACTGGTGTGATAAAGAGGTGAAAAACACGGACAAAGAAATATGGGCGAGAGCTAGATCCGGTAATTTGACACGTGCGGGAAAAAAAAAGGTATAAGTGACTGGAAGTGCAGGGAGTGTAAAAGTCAGGAAGAAACGCGAGCGCATGTGTTAATGTGTGAAAAAATTAAGTGAAGAGAGTAAAAAAAACATTAGAGTCTTGGAACAATTATAAAGAATGTGAAAAAATACTAGAGATAAAAATAATAGAATGCTTAAATAGTAAAATATGTAAAAATGTATGTAAATTGTTGAAAGAAATAGAAAATGTATTGAGAGAAAGTGAGAGTGAGAACAGAGAAGAGAGCAATATAACAAAAGACGCTGTGCATTAGATTACTAGTCAAAGAAAGAGTGCGCATGAATGTGTGATAGAGAATAAGTAGAGATAATTAAGAAATAAATTTAAAAAAGTGAGGAAAAACGTGTGTGGAAAATAGTACGGGATATGTTAAAATATTGTAAAAAAGCAATGTACCCAAAAAAGTGGTGAAATGTATGCCAAATATTAAAATTAAAATTAATCTAATTAATTTAATACTATGTAATCCACATAAAAACGAGCTAAATAGAAAAACAGCGCTGCTTGTCTTTCTATTTAGAAAACATTTTGTAAAACACTGCCTATGTGATACAAATAAAATCATTATTATTATTATTATTACTAGATTTTTGAAAATTAACTTGGTATGCTACCTGGTCAATATTTGGTCCCTTTACCCTACATGTGGTCATAATTTTTGATAATTAGATTAGATATCCTGTCAAGGTAATTTATTTACAAATTTCAGGAGAGACGTTTTTAAAAGCAAGAATATGGTCTACAATGATTTTAAACAACAAAGTTGTAAACAGCTTCAAAAATAAATTTTTTATGCATACTTATGTTATACTTTTAAATGAATGATAAAAATAAATGTAATTTGAAATTTGAAACTACGTTGGTTCTCAAATCATGTCAATAAATAATTATGTTGAAATTTCACAATATTAAAGAGTTTTTTTTTAAGTATCACTCCTTCTAAAAATTTTCCAGAGTCATTTGATATTTTATAATTAAATTGTAGTTAATACAGTTAAGTATAACAAAATAAAACTTTTATTTTAATTATTATTATTTTTACATTTTTTTTAAGTAAGTAAGAAAACTACCATAAAAAAAAAGACATAATCCGTGAAAACTTCAACTATCTCTTAGAAAAATGAGCAGAAGTATAATTATTCTACGTTAGAAAGGTAAGCGCCTAGATATTTGTGTGCGAATATTATTCAAAATACTGAAACATTTGTTCTTTAAGCAATTAATTATTCTTACACTTAGTTTCTACAAAATTCTTTTTTTATAGAGTTGATATGACACTAACACTTTGCGATAAATCAACTTGACCTCTCAGGACTTTTTGTTGTAATTTTTTACAGAATATTTTTGCCATAAGATGATTTCTCCGCATTCGGTCTTCTTTTTCTTGCTGTTTACGCTTACTTCTAATGTCGGTTAATCTCAAACGTCGCAGACGAAATCTCATTTTCATTTCATCGTCATTAATTTTCCTTGAACTTTTACCTGCAAATTATTAAAAAAGTGATATTGTAAATATCAGTTAAAATAATTAAATAGTTTTTTAATCAAGAAGGTGTATTGCAATAATGTACTGAACAGTGTTGACTAAATAAAGATAAATATTCAATATTAAATCATATACAAAAATGTCACACATCAGATAACGAAGAAATTACATTTTTACATCATTTGATATTATTTAATTTTTTTTTTTTAGCCAATTTAAATTAAAGTATTACAAAGTTTTATTAAGAGCGTGAAGAATCTCAAAAAGGTAAATGTTCGATCATTTCACTTTAATTTATTTGATATATAATCATAATCTACTCGACGAATATCGCAAATATTTATTTCGTAATTTTTGCTTTTGGTGCTCTAAATACGCAGTCTAATTTTCTATTTTCAGAATTTTTTATAATTATATCCTATAAATAATTAAAGATCTGGACTATTTTTAGTGGGAACCTACAAATTTTATGAAACACTGCTGATGAATAAATTTGACAATATAATGAAACTAGAAGTAGTAGTCGACGTGTAAAAATCTATTTTCCATCAAATTTTTATTGCAATAAAATTTTCAAAAATCTAAGCATATTTTTACGAAGTATTTTAGAATTTTTCAAAATAAACCATGTAATTACTTAACGTCTGTTATTTTGTGTCATAAATATAACATTCAATACAAAGGTTGGGAAGGAACACTTCGTGTCAGCTAAAAAATATTTTAATTTTTAGGACAGTACTATTATCAAAACTAATATTAATTGTTATTCAGTGAAAGCAGAAATTGCTGAACTAAAATACGGGTGGGTTCGAGCCAGGAATTTTTCTCAGCCGTCCCGTATTTTTTCCCAGCAATTTTTGCTTTCACTGAGTAAAAAAATTAATATGAATTTTTAATAATTTTATTACTTTGCAGACAGGGCAAGAAAATCAGAACGAATTAAATAAAAACGAAATATTTTTTTTTATATAGATTAATAGAAATATCAACCCAGCTTATAATTAAAATTCTGAAACTGAAAAATTATTTCTCTAAATTTATTTTTGTTGCCTTTTAGAGACAGTTTTACAATCCGGGGTATAATTTTATTCAAAGTTATAATATATATATATATATTTCATATATATATATATGGGTGATTCTCTGTAAGGACGTCTTAAATTTGTACAAAATTGTCCGACCAAATTATTTTTGATTTTATTAGAAAAAAAATTAACAAGGGCTACAAAACTATCAGCTTAATCATAATAAATAAACAGCTGATTTAATTTTTACATTTAAAGAACGGAAGTTTCTTGTGACTTTTCATAAAAAATATAAAATATCTTCGTAAAACGTCCGGAAACCTACTTTTTTTATTATTTTAATCGAAAGCTTATTAAATTTTCTATCAAATTCAATGAAAAGAAAAATTTTTTAAAATCGTTAATTGCATTAAATTCTTAACCAAATACACGGCTGGTGAAATCTCCATTTAACTACATGTTAAAATTACAATTTTCAAACTTAATTATTTCATTAAATATCCCGGAAATCTACTGTTTTTTAATTTTTTTTTATTGATTATTAGACTATGTAGATGAAATTTAAAAATTTTCAGAAAATTTTAAAAACTTGACTATTTCGCGTGGATCTCCTTTTTATAAAACAACCATTACCCGACTTTACCCGTCTGAGTCCCATTGCTTGGTCATTTACCCATTTAACATCGAATTACCCGAAAAATGGGTAATTACCAGGACATTGGCAACACTGTATATAGCGCACAGCGCCAACGAAAATTCAAAAAAAGCAGATGGAAGAGGGAGAAACGAATCAACGGTATTTTATAAATGGCCGTCATACAGGAATAGAAATAGGTCAATTTACCTGATATATAATTGTAAGATAATTGAGTCAAATTAAAAAACTGGACAGTGCTAAAAAATTTTCATTTTTTGAAATTTGATTTTTTTATTCATTTTTTAAAATAATTTCAACAAGTATCAAAGACACTGAAGTTAACTGACAGAAAAATTTTTCATAATTTTATAGCAATTAAATTATTTATTGTAAAAAAAAATTTAATAAAAAAATTCCACCTGCAAAAATTACAAAAAATTGTTAGAAATTTTTTAAGCATTTTTTTTATTGTCATTGATCCTAATATAAAATTGAGATGAAATGTATGTGGCATCAAACTATTCGTAACGTGATTGGTCGAATATATCATAAGCATGAAAATATATGCAAACTCTATAGTCAAAGCGCGCGCTTGCGCGCGTAAATTTAAATTCTAGTCCTTTAAATCCTAATATAAAATTGAGATGAAATGTATGTAGGTCATCAAACTATTCGTAACGTGATTGGTACGAATATATCATAAGCTATTGTAAAATATATGCAAACTCTATAGTCAAAGCGCGCGCTTGCGCGCGTATAGTAGACAAATGAAAAATTAATATTGTATAATGTATTGATAATAATAATAATAATTATTATTTTTTACGGTTTTAATATTAAAAATCACAAATATTTTTACGCCAGTAAAAATTAATCTAAGTAACGGAATTATCCACCAACTTTAAGGTGGCGCTGCAATCACTGAAGACTTTTCAACTGTATAAAAAATTACACATGTCAGTGATCATTTTTTTGCTGAATTACAGTTTATTCTTACAAAGTTTTACACAATTATATCATTATAATAAAATTTTATGCAATTATAGTTAAATAATATTTCTAAAAATATATTTTAATGACATTTGTAATTTTTTGTTACTATTAACTAGTTTTTATACATATTTTCAAGCGGTAACCTTAAAAAATAAATTAAATCGATTAAATATTTAATTTTTTTAAACTAAAATCAAGTTTCTACAAAATATAAAAGCTATAAAATTTATAATAATTCTATTCCAGTAAATTTAACTAACAGAAACTTCAAAAGTATTGCTATTACTAATTGATAGTACAGTATTATAAAATACTTAAGTAATTTTTACCATAAATTTAATCAAAAATTTTTAAGTAAAGTTATTGTGGTGCATATATGATGACCTAATCTGGTAATTTGTGTTCATATATAATTTTTCTAGATATAGTGTAGAAAAATTCCGACAGAGGGCGAACCATAGCTGAATCTTCTCTGAATAGGAGAGTTACTTTTATATCTTCTTACTAATTTTTTTTGCAGGTATTGATTTTCATAATAGAAAGTTAAAAATTGATTTTAATCACAATCTAACATTTTTAATTTATTATTGGCAATAAAAGTCCTTCTTAAGATTAAGTAGTAATTTCACTCAACAGATACGAAAGAAAAATCATTTCCCCTAAGTCTAAAGAAGCCTTCGTCGCCTCTTCAGACATTTCCGATAATTCTTTGTCGTTTATTCAATAATTAAGTATTTATCCGTTGACTTTTTCCCTCCAGGCAAGAAATGTCAGTGCGGATTTGTCCCGTGACAGTTTCGGGGGTATCTAAAAATGAGGGCAGATGTAAAGAAAAATGAAGGTATAAAAACAGTAAGAAGGGTGAATTTTTATATAAAAAATAATAAAAATAAAATAACGGCGTAAACGTTGGTAAAGTAGAGAAACACCGTAAAGAGAAGAGGAGATTTAAGCCGCAAGAAAATACGTGACAACATTGTGAATAAGAGAAAATCTGAGGGATAGTGTGACAAGGGACGGCGACGCGGAGAATCGGTAAAATGAAAAAGTCTAGATCTGTATATACAGTAGCACTACTACGACGTGTATTTCAGTAATGAGGGTGATATCTTGTTTCAGGATTCTCGGGTATTAATCTCGACTCACTACTACTCAGTGCCAAAGGAATAAGAGACGTTTGTATTATTTTATAATGAATTATTTTCATCTGTTCTTTCTCTTCTGATACCTGTGGCAACGAAACTTTCTCCCTAAAGGACTCTCTTTTACTTTGAAATTTAATACCTTGTAAATGCTCTCCATCGTTTATGCACTCCATACTCATCCTCATTTTCATTAGTAACATAAATTGTCATTTACCAAGGTAACTCTGATGACACAAATAACACAAGAGACTATTATTTAACATATTCTCACCGCAATAATTAGTTATGCATCTCCTTCTCAGTTATTCGAAACACTGGCTTACCTGCAACAAAAAAACAACCACAAATTAAGTTTGATAAACTATTTTATTGTAATGAGCTAAATGTTAAATTATATTGATTTAATAATGAATGATTTTAAGTCAAGTCATAAAAAGTTTTTCTAATATGGCCTGATATGATCATATACGGCAATAAATGGTTACATATATGGGTGACTCTCTGTAAGGACGTTTTAAATCTGTTCAAAATTGTTCAACTAAATTATTTTTGATTTTATTAGAAAAAAAATTAACAATGGCTACAAAACTATCAGCTTAATGATAATAAATAAACAGCCAAATTAATTTTTGTTTTTTCGATATTTGTGTATCTTTTGCCGTATAACATGACAGGGGGACTGTTTGCCAGGGGACTGTTTTTTTTTTTTTATCAAATTGAGAAAAATCAAGCAAACTATTTCAATGCATTCAACTTTTCAAGTTCTCAATGAATGCTTACATTAATTAGAATAATATTAAGACTTATGGATCCAATTTTATAAATAAATTATAAATAAAAATAGTTGTCAGGGGACTGAGTTTTGAAATGGCCCAGACACATTTCCAGCACAAACGGTGCTTTGACACTAAATAAAATGGGGATAAAGCGCTAACATCCCTATGGTTATTAACTCAAGGCTAGTTAGGTCCTTATAAACCTTACAAAAGGTAAAATAACACGTTGGATTTTTTTTTTTTGGCTTTGAACTTCTGGCAGGGAACTGTTCTTAAAATGCTTGGGACAAACTTTGGTTTAATGAATTTAATGAAACAAATTAATTTTCGGTACTTTTTATTGAAGAAGATTGTTAGTTAACTAATTAAATCTATAAACATTATGGACCAAATTAAATATTATGGACGAATAACTTAAAATTTAATCTTAAAGTTTTAATTTTGGGAATGGGACAGCCCAGGGAACTGTTATTTCGGTGGTTTACGAATTTATATCAAAAAAATCAAAATTTATTTCATTTTAGTTTTCAATGCTTCAAATAGAAATGTTTTTTTTTTTTTACTTTCGTAATAATTTTTTTTTAGTAACAAAATAACAATTTTTCTAATAAAAAAATGCTTGAGACAGCAAAAAACATCCTTACAGAGAATCACCCATATAGATATACTAGTAATTTATTTATTTATTTATCAACATACGCCTATTGGGAATATACATCAATAGAAAATATTAAAAATTTAATTTAATAACATTAATTAGAATTTCATTAAAGAAAAAACGAGAACAAGTTTGTATAATTTATACGTAATAATAATTTTATTCTGTATTAAAAAATTGTTCTTAATTTTTTTTTTTTTTTTTTATTTTAATTAAACGTAGAGCGTATTATATAAAGTTTTAAAAAATAATTTATAAATTACACTTACGACATAAAAATTTTTTTTTCAGTAGCTGTAAACATCCAACTTTATTTGACTCGACTATAATTCATCACATACTTAAAAATGGATAGCTCTGAATATGAATTAGTCCGCAACCTTACACTATTGTTTTTCTTTGAACGTCTTATGGATAAAGGTGGTCCACGAACATTGCACGATCTCAGTTGTCAATTTGGAGCCAAAGGTTTCACTAAAGAAATGCGTCAAATAGCTGGAGGCTCACAAAGTGGACTACGTAAATTTTTAGCTCAATATCCGACTCTTTTTGTCATCAACGGTGATTATGTGACTGTAAATACATTCGAGCCAACTTTAGAACACGACGCTGGAATAAAAAAAATAAATAAACGTGACTATGCAAAGGAAGCTGTTGAATATTTTACTAATAAACTTGTGCAATATGGAGTTGGAGCAGAAGTGCCTATTAAAAGCTTACTGGGTCATAGATCACAAGCGTCACCTGAAGTGAGACACATTTCTGGTCAACATTATCGCGAATTTCGTGATTTTCTTCTTAAATATTCAGATGATTTTATTGTATGTGATGAAAATGTTAAACTTAAACAATTTGAAGGCATGGAAGGAGTTCCTTTTAAAGAATTAGAACCGGAAGTTCCTGTTGACCAAGAAATGACTTCAAAGTTACTGGATTTTTTCTGTCAAACTATTAAACAAAAAGGCCCGCTTCTTGTAGAACAACTTTTAACTCTAACAGCAGATAAACTGCCAGCTAAAATGTGGACAAATATGTTTACAACTCCGCAAGATTTGACCACGTTTTTGAGAATGTTTCCGGATGCTTTCAACGTACAAAAACAAGTTGTTTGCTTGCAAGATAAAGTCAAATTACCGATGGATATCCATAAAAAAACTGAACCCACACCAGCAGCTCCTAAGGAAAATTTAAACGCAGAGAGCTTTGCAACTCACCAGAATTCACATATTGTTAAAGCGTTTAGCAATGAACATATTCCGCAGTCAGATCAAAATTCACAAATCAATCGAAGTAGCGACACAGAGAGTGCTATTGACAGTCTTTCGTCAATTGAATCGAATCCTCATACATCACCAGTTAATTTACAACAACAAACTCTCAAGCAGAGAATTAATACTCTTGTTATGAAAACTCTAGCAGCTAATACTGAAAAAGATCGGAATTTGCATAACCCCCAGGTTGGTGAAGCATGGAAAGTTAAAATTTTGCAGAAAACTAAAATTATTGTTAATGTAAGAGAATGTGTCCGTATTGTTGATGAAATTTTAAATTCTCCACGATTGTCACCAGACGAAAAAATAGCTGTTTCTCTTGATTGCGAAGGTATTAATGTTGGTTCAAAGGGTCAGCTTACACTCATACAAATTGGAACAATGGAAGGAAATGTTTTTATTTTTGATTTATTTACATCACCGAATCTTATCGGTGCATTGCGAAAACTTTTAGAAGATCCTTCAGTGATTAAAGTAAGTATATAGTTTTAAGGGTGTAGTCTAGTTGGTCACTTTCGAAAATTCAAATTTTTTTTTTTTAATTAAATTTTGGTAAAATTTTCTATGATTTTTTATTTAATGAAAATTAAAACGCGTTTTTTTCAAAACTACGGCTTATAAAAAAACTGAAAAAATGTTTATTTCTATGTTTAAAAATATGATATAAAATTTTTAATTTTGTAATTTTCTCATTAAAATTTTCAACTATTAAAAACGCATGATCATCATTTGCTATTCATTACCGGGTAATTAATAGCTGAATCGTTTTCTGGAATTGCTTATTAACATTTAAGTTTATTTAGAAGTTTTTTTTTTCGACAATTGATTATTACTTTTGAAATAGTCTTTATAAATATAATTTTTAAAATATATTAGCGTGATAAAAAAAATAAAACTTAATCTTCAACCGAATATTGAAAAGAACGTGATTAAAATCAATAGATCTGGCATCATGGAAATTTAATCATTCCAACATGATCACTACATAAAATCATAAAGTGAAGGCTGCGTTTCATTTATTTCGTTTGTTATCAAGATATATTTGTTATGCGGGTATGGTACTAATCATTGTTAAGGTAGTTGTCGTGGTTACGGCATACCGTCAGAAAATTCTAAATTTTTGTATACTTATTAAAGATATGATGATACAATTATCCTTAATATTTGAAGTCGATTGACCAACTATAACCCGAGATGAATTCAATTAAAAATTGGATAGTTAACATTGATTGCATACGCTCTCTGCAGTTCTGTACCAGTTTCTTAGTTATAAAAAAAAAAACTAACTGTCAGAAACTTTAAAAAAGCTGACAGTCTTTTAATGTATTTGTTGTGTTTAAAAAAAAATTTTTTTTAATTTTGACCATCTAATTATTTATAAATAACGGATTAAAGTTGAACAATTTATGAAAAAGTATATATCTACGGAGTCGGACAGAAAAAATTGTACGGGTTGCGTCTCCACGGGTACAGCCTTGCGTAAAAATTATAGATTACTTAGCTACAAGCTCATATACTTTTACGGCGCGTATAATCTCTAATTTTTTTTATAATATTGTACCATGACAACTACCTTAAGACCCCATTTATCATCCTTAACAATTTTCATAAACATTTCTTTCATAACAAGATCACAAGGAATTCCGAAAAATAGCCTATTTTTTTTAGCCGGCGAACTTGACTACACCCTTAATTATAAAACTGAAATTTTTATGGCTAAAAATTTTCTTGCTAACTTGGTACCTAATTTTTCAATTTCAGGTAATTCATGACTGTAGAAATGACAGTGTCAATTTATATAATCAATTTGGGATTACTCTAAAAAATGTGTTCGATACGCAGGTAAATGTTTTGAACTAATATCGTATGAAAGTATTAACTGTACTTGTAATATAAATGTATATTTTTCTCATAGGCAGCACATGCAGTCATTCAATTTCAAGAGACAGGAAAACCTGTAGATAAAGTGAAAAATGTCAATTTTAATACACTTTGCGATTTATATGGAGCGCCATGTAATTTGTTGAAAAATCAATTGAAGTACATCTATCGTAAAGATCAAAAATATTGGTTGCGTCGCCCCATGTCTCGTGATATGCTCATTTATGCCACCAGTGATGTTCTTGGACTTGTGCCTCAAGCCTTCACAGCAATGTCGAAGTAAGAATCTTAAGTTTATTAAATACTTGAATACAACTTTGGAAAAAATGATTGAGAGATACTTTCTGTTAGATTTAGATTTTCTATTAATTAAATCTTCAAGGTTTAATCTGTAACTATATCTAAGTTAAATCCCCCATTATTTTCACTATAAGAGTGATCATAAATATTTGAATTTTTTTTTATCGTGTTTCAAATCAATATTGTCAACTTTTTTTTTTCATAGGGCACCTTAATCATTGTTTCTACTTATATAATTTAATTAATTAACTTTAATAGCAATAAATTTAATGATTATTATATCAACTTAAAACCAGCAGGTCGAATGTATGTATTATTGACAGCGCAAAAAATTCAAAGAGCCGATTATTGACATACCATTGACCCTATTATTGACAGGTCTTTTATTACAGTTAAATTTATATTAACAATAATCATTTTTACTAACTAATGCAAAACTATCAATAATTTTTATTATTTGAAAAATTCATTTAAGGCCTAGCTTTTCTATATTTTTTACCAGGTTTTTTTTTAGCAATTTTTTTTAGTCTCAAATACTTTGATTCTTATAAAATTACATGACAGTTTGTAAACATTAATACGTTGATATGTATGATGAGAGGGTTTTGTTACCTTACATTATGGCCTATATCGTTAGTTGACGCAAGTTAATTTTTGTGTCCCCATCATTGACATCCGCTATTTTAAAATTAATTTTAACTCGATAATGTATAAGTAAATAATTATATGGTTATTTAGACTATAAATAATATAAAATAATTTTAAACAATGCAATTACGTAAAAAAAACATTGAGAAATCTGGATTTGAAAATAAGGTCTTTCTTAACAATATTGTTAAGAAATTACAAACGTATCAGCAGTTTTGGCCTACTTGAAAAAATGAAAATTTTTTGCGGTAAATAGTTTATACCTTGGAATTAAATTTTATTATTTTTTAATTTTAAAAATATGTAAAATTGCTATGAAATATAAAAAATTGTGATTATTAACAGATTTTACTAATTAAATAATAAAATTAAATAGGGTGTCAATAGTGGAGGCCCTGTCAATAATAGGGGCTTTTACCTTATATCTAGTTAAATTTATAAAATGACAATGTATTGTTCAAATTTGACCATATACTTCATAATTATTTTTTGCAGACGTATAAATCCAGATATGCAAACGCTTTTTAATAATTTATGTGAAGAGCAAATACTGACACACATATCTCCTGTTGAAATAAAAGCTCGCAAAAGGCAACGAAAAATAGAAACAGAAGTAATAGATCTTCGTAAAAAAATGGATGAAGCTACTGAAAAAAATATTGTATTAAGTAACCGAGAAATAAGGCTTCTTCGTTATTTATCTCTTACCGAAGATGAAAAAGTAAAGCTTAAATGCAGTTACAAAGTTGCCAAAAAACTTGAAAAGCTTAAAAGTTTATCGAACGATAAAAATGAGAGTACCGATGATGATAATGATAATGAAGATGATGATAATAACGATATTGACGATAAAGATGAAGATAATGATTACGATGATTATTTTGATGAAGATGATAATACTGATGATTATGATTACGACGATAATAATCACAATAAAGCTAACCAAAAAACTGAATATTCTAATCTAGATAATTGTATATACGATAATACTACATTCGGTAAATTTTATATTATATAAACTTAAAAATTTATTTTAATATTTTATTGTAACTTTTTTTTTTTGTTTTTCAGATTGCCCGTCGATAAGATTAAATCCGCTAACTATTACAGAGTCTATGCAAATGGTTGATGAAATTTTATCAGATGAAAATATGGATAGATTTGAAAAAATAGAAAAATTGGAGAATATTCTTTCATCTGTAACAAATTTTACTTCTGACAAATTATCTTCTAAAATTATGTATCCTGAATCTGAAAAATGTACATGTTTGTGCCATGATAATTCTAATCAACAGCCACGAGAAGAGAGCCCTAATGCAACGGATGTAGCATGTCAAACCTTAAGCACTGGTGATATTGTTATTACCAGCTGTTATTTTTTATAATCTATTCTTTTTAACTAGTTATTATTACAATTGTTATTGTTATAGCGAGCTATCATTAGAAATTAAAATTGTTATTGTTATAACTAGTTTTTATACTATAGAGATAAAAAAATTTTAATTTTGTCGCTATTTCGTTTAAAAACACGCAATTATCTTCCATACGTTAACTTTTAGATAGACGGTAATCAAAATTTTAAAGTCAAAATACTTCCATTGAGCATCTCAGAATTTTTTTTATATATTTCACATTTAAGGTAGTTGTCATGGTACAATATTATAAAAAAAATTAGAGATTATACGCGCCGTAAAAGTATATGAGCTTGTAGCTAAATAATCTATAATTTTTACGCAAGGCTGTACCCGTGGAGACGCAACCCGTACAATTTTTTCTGTCCGACTCCGTAGATATATACTTTTTCATAAATTGTTCAACTTTAATCCGTTATTTATAAATAATTAGATGGTCAAAATTAAAAAAAATTTTTTTTTAAACACAACAAATACATTAAAAGACTGTCAGCTTTTTTAAAGTTTCTGACAGTTAGTTTTTTTTTTATAACTAAGAAACTGGTACAGAACTGCAGAGAGCGTATGCAATCAATGTTAACTATCCAATTTTTAATTGAATTCATCTCGGGTTATAGTTGGTCAATCGACTTCAAATATTAAGGATAATTGTATCATCATATCTTTAATAAGTATACAAAAATTTAGAATTTTCTGACGGTATGCCGTAACCACGACAACTACCTTAACAATGATTAGTACCATACCCGCATAACAAATATATCTTGATAACAAACGAAATAAATGAAATGCAGCCTTCACTTTATGATTTTATGTAGTGATCATGTTGGAATGATTAAATTTCCATGATGCCAGATCTATTGATTTTAATCACGTTATTTTCAATATTCGGTTGAAGATTAAGTTTTATTTTTTTTATCATGCTAATGTATTTAAAAAATTATATTTATATAGACTATTTCAAAAGCAATAATCAATTGGCGAAAAAAAAAAACTTCTAAATAAACTTAAATGTCAATAAGCAATTTCAAAAAACGATTCAGCTATTAATTACCTGGTAATAAATAGCAAATGATGATCATGCGTTTTTAATAGTTGAAAATTTTAAAGAGAGAATTACAAATTAAAAAATTTTATTTTATATTTTTGAATTATAACAATTTTGCCTTATCTTTTAGTCTACTAATTGAAGAAAGATTTAATAACATAGCGATTCAATGAATATTTCTACTTCATATTTAAAAATGTGCATGCTTTGGAGAAGAATAGTATTCGATGAAAATTTTCTTATTAATAAATTGTAAAATATAATCTCGAAACAATGAATTTGTATAAAGAAAAAGGATAAAAATTGATTTAATTGAGATTTATCTCAGCGAAATAACTAGAAGCTTTTCTTAAGTTATATAAAAAAAAAATTTAACATAAACTGATGAAAATTTGTTATTATAAATTTTTCCTCATGATTATATATATATATAAGCAATCATTGTATACAGTACATTATAATAATTGAAATTATTTTTTTAATATTTTTCGATAATTTTAAGTTGATGTTCAACTATTTTCTGCTAATGATTATATACTGTAGCAATATAATTTAATGTATTATATTTTGATAACAATAATAATATAAAAATTATTAAAGTTGTACTTATTGAAGAATAGGTGTATGAAACCAACTTTTTCATGTACGAACAAAATCGTGTAGTAACGAGAAATAATAGCACTAAAAATGTACATTTATAATCAATAGTATTATTAATCAGTTATTAATAATAACAATATAATGCTATGCATTATTTATGTTGAGAAAAATTTTGAAGAAATAAAAAAAGCGAGAAATTTATTTTCATTTAACTCTGAGACATAAGAAATAATATAACTCAGTACAAAATTAATTAATTAATTAATTAAAGCTTTATAAATAAATTTTATTTTCCATTTTAATGAAATACAGATCATTTAATACAAGGAAATAATTTAAAGTCATAATTCAACATTTCTAATAGAACATAATATTTTAAATGAGATCAAAATAAAAATTGCAATTATTAGTTATCATGTTGGAAAAGTGATTGAAGCGAGCATTTTTAAATTTGACTAAATTATCTACAGCCACAGTCTAAATAGAATAAAAACTCCTTCTTTCTCGAGAGAGTTTTAAACTGTATACGGTAGAATTATCTGAAGAAAGTTTTTTATAATTCTTGAACAAAAAAAAATAGGTAGTTGATTAACAATTGTTTAACTTTTTAAAAATTAACATAAATTTTTTTTTTTTCAACGGGATTTTATTCTTTCAAGTTTTTAGATGACAGCATATTTTTTTTTATAAAAATTTCTTTTGAAAAAATGAACATTATCTGGATTTGGAAAAAAACAATTTTAGATGAAAATTTGCAAGTTATTTATCTAAAATTGTTTTTTTCCAAATCGAAAAAATTTTTTTTCAATAAGAAAATTACAGAGAAAAATTTGGATTTAAAAGAAGCCGATTTCTAGCTGCAACAAGGAAAAATTATATTAACTTATTAACATACACTGAAAAAAAAAATTTCTTTAAAAAAAATGAGAAATGTTGTAATAAGATATTAACTTATTGAAAATTTTAAAAAATTTTATTTCTTAGCCGAAGAAATAAAAATTTTTTATTGAAAAAAAAGTATTCTAGATTTAAGAAAAAACAATTTTGGATGAAAATTAGCAAGTTGTCTAAAATTGTTCTAAAAGTATTTTCAATTACTATACAAACATACATAAAATACTTATATGAAATTCCGAGAGCAACAATTTTTCTCACAACAAAAATTTCTCTTTTACAAAAAAAAAAAGCAAAAGTTTGCTTATTTTTGTTTGATCAAATTTTGATTTTTTGTAGACATATAGTTTTCTCTATCTTTTCCTTAATTATAATCTAAAAATTAATTTCGCCAGAAATAAAACGAAAAAAAAAAAAGTGTTTATAGGATTTTGTTTCTCTTCTTGTGCGCAAGATCACTCAACACTGGTGGATCTGTGGGGTTGTGAATGAAGCGGGAGATTAGTAGATGATTGAACTCTTCTCGGTAACGTCTATCGTTTTTTCTAATTTACAATCATTTGTCAATTATATTACAGAGTATAACTGATTTGAATGTTCTTATTTAAAAAATTAATTAATTACTTAGTGATATGGATATTTTGTATGATTTATGGTAAGTCGAGATTTATGTCTTACAACAAATTATGTGATTAATTATTTTTTGATGTTTTCTTAACGTCCGAAAAATATCACATTTAAATTAATTTATATGTGTAGGCTATTGAATGGTTCATATAAAATAATAAATCTAACAAAGATTTTATGATTTCATCAAAAAACTATTTCGCATGAATACTGTAATCACTTGTCTAATATTTTCTGAATACAATAGTGTAAAGAAGAAAAAGTAGATCTAAAAATTTTTAGGGTATTTGCAATCAACTTTACCTCAGATAGATTCAAATTGATATATGTAATTTACTATAATAACTCAAAATACTCTGAAAAAAATTTAATAAAATTTCTAGTATTCATGTTAAAGTTTATTTTTTCGAAGGTTCAATAATATAAGTTATTTAAAACTAGATATTTAAAATTTGAGAGTTGAGAATAAGTAGTATTAAGGGTGAAATTTAGTAAGTCACTTTTGAAAATTTGATTTGTTTTATTTTTTTTGATTTTTTAAATTTTGGTAAGATTTTTTATGATTTTTTATTTAAAGAAAATTTAAACGCATTTTTTTTCAAAGCTACGGTTTCATAGACGGCCAACAGGATTTCTTCGGAACCCGTAGGCCGATCCTTTTGAAATTTTAATCGTATATTCTAATACACATAAATACTCACTAAATAGACAACCATTATTATATGTTAAAATATTGATTTTTACTTTTTTTTTTTTTTTTTTTTTTTTTTGTTACTTAAAATTAACAAAAATTGTTCAAAATTATTATTAATAATCTATTTTGTAGCCATCAATAAGGTAAAGTACCCAGTAGTTGAACAAGTTTCAAAGTAAAACGTATTTGACCCTACTTTTAATATATAAAGGTGTAATTATTAGTTAAAATTAGTGATTTTTATGAAAATATAAAACAAATTTTAAATTGATTGAAGCGCAAAATAACACAGATAATTGATTATTTATATTTTGACAACGTTTTTAAAATAGACTATGAAAGGAGTAGTAGTTGAACAATCAATTCTGACAAGCCGCAGTAGTTGAACACTCTGGGAGCAGTAGTTGAACCAATAAAATATATGGCAATAGGCACACCTAAAATGTTCAACGTTTTATTGAAATATCAAAAGAAATATAACATATTTTTAATTAATATAAAAAATAATACTGTGAATATTTAATATGTTCATTTAAAAATAAGAAATATTTGTATTTAATTTTTTAATTACATTTTTTATGAATGACAAAGCAAATTTTAAATTAATCAATAATTTTTAACTACACTAATTTTTAGTCATAAAACTTATTTAAATTGCAGTAATTAATACAAATCACAATGCTGATCATTAGTCTATAAACCTATTAAAGGTTGCAGTGCTGTTAAAATTATACGGCCCCAGTCTGTTCAAGTTCTGGGTACCGCTTTGAAAATTTGGAGCTATAGTTGAACGCTAAAATTTAATATGAAAATTCTTGTTTACGTCTTTGCAAAATATATATGTTATTTAGAAAAGACTATTTCATTAGATGGTACAATATTTTTTACTAAAAATGATGACATACCGTTTTTTTTACTGATTGTTTGGTTTACGATTTAGTACCTTTTTAATGAAAAAAAATAGCGCATTTATCGGTGATTCTCAACATGTCAACTTTTAAATTAATAATAATATAATTGTTTTGATTTATAATTGAAAAAACTTACAGTAATCAATTACTGTATTATTTAATAATTACAATATGCGCATATTACTCATAATAAATTTAC